AGGACACAGTTGAGAGGCTCTTTCTCCGATCAGTCCGCCCCTGGATATTCCCCATCTATGGTGAGTTGACAGACATGCAGCAGCGACAGCATTCCATCAACTTTATGGGTCTCTCATAACTCATATGGGGAAAAGAAATACTGTACCGTACAATATTGTATTGCACATAGTAACTTTCCTATTTTGCTTAGTATTGGTGGGCGGCTTATATTGGGCTGCATTTTAAGCACAATGTTCTTACAAAAGAATTTACATCGTAAAAAAACTATGAAAAATTTAGACTTTAAATTTTCAAGTCAGAGAAACCAGCAGCCATTTTTATATTAAAAATTTGAAAATTCCAATACAGGAAGGAGAAATTGGTGAAGATTTTTTGGGCCTCAAATAACTGATGCTGGATAAATTAGATTACAGTCCATGACACAGTACAGTACTAGCTGTATGCTGAACATTTAAAACAATAAGTACTGTATAAACTTACCCAATTATATAGACACGGGATCACTTCGTTTAAAAAATCTCTACATATAGAGTACTGTATAGTTAGACTTTTATTGTTTTGTTACTCTTTATTTTCCTTTCACCCCAATAATAATATACTGTATGGCACAAAGTCAAAAATTCGAGTTATATGAAGATTTGCTGATCGGATTTATCACGTCACACATCATTCTTTTATAGGATTGAAGTCTATCAAGAAATGTTGAATTTGTTGAAAATGTTTCCCGGAAACAGTCAATAATGCAACGAAAAATTTTTAAAATTATTTCTACGAATTCATTTCCACTGCGACTACTAGAAGAGCTGAATTCTGCCGCTATACTGGAATCTCGCAATTTCTTCATTTCATATCCTGTAAGAAATTTAGAAAATATTCTCACCGAAGCATAAACAATTACTGTACTTTTGATGTGTGGCGTGCAGAAAATGACGAAATACTGTACATGCTGCCTGTATTATATTCGCAGGATATCGCATTTTCAGCAGCGCAATAACATTTCTAGGAACTCCATCAACCTTTCCACAAAAAAACGTTACAATTTTTGTTTTTCAAAATTGGATCGTGAATTTTCGGTCTGCGCGAATTGCATTCTATACGAACAGTATACTGCTGTGTTATATATACGTATTTCGATCCTGATGTTTATATAAGCACGTAACACAGCAGTTCATCCTTCCCTTTTCGTGGCAAACAAAAAAAGCTGCAAAAAATATGATTGGCAACACCACACATTCGTACCATCATGCAAAAGCCGATCTTAGAATTCAGAGGAGCACGCACAAATAAAAAATAAATAAAAAACGCACTCGATATTATACAGTATATCATCCAAGATATTCTGAAAGTAAATTATCGAAATTGGCCAAACAGGTTTAAAATTTTTAGCTGCTGCAAAGACCAATACAGAAAACCTACAGTATATATACAGTACTCAAGAACTGAGCCATCAGCATAGTTTCCGCAGACTCCTGGAGCATCAGAAAAGCGATCGATCACGCTGATCCTGAATTTTTGCGCGGGAAAATGAAAGTTTAGGCCGGGTGAAATCGAAGATTTCTCCCGAATGAAATACCTTCAAATGTCATCAATTTTCAAAGGGTACCTATTCCTATGATTTATCGTGCACTTTTTCATCCAGGGCAAAATGGATGAACCGAAAGGTTTCCTCGCGGAAGTGATGGCGTCCAGACACGCTCACGGAGACTACGGTCGCAATCCAGTACCTCTTTTCGAAGAAGACGCACATCGTCAGAACAGCAGGAACTCTGTTCCCCCCGTCGTCCCATGTCAGGTGAATCCAGCAGATCCCACTCTACTGCAATCTTCAGACTAAAACGGAGCGTCTCATCACCACTTTCGGTCCTGCACACACATAGATACAACCACTATCATTAGTATACTTCACAGAGCAGTCCATGCATATACACACGCCAGTGAATTGATCAAACGCAACGCCTGTTCTGCACTTCTGCTGCGAATAACTGCACTACGTAGTACGCATAGAGTCCATCAGGACCCGATTTTATAGAGTCCGGATTGCAGTTTCAACAGTCTTCCGTACGTCGCATTATGCTCTCTCGACAGGTTAATGGCGTGGATGCGTATGCGTTGCTGAACTCCGTGTCCATAATATCCTGCGTGTCCAGACATTTCCTGACGAAGCTGGACCTTGTGCACGAAATCATTCCTGAGCCTAATCCTCCAAGGCATCCTCTTCAACTGGGAGCAGGTCAGTAAGCGAATTGTTCACGAACATTTTGATTCGGATCGAGTGAAAATGAAATTCAAGGTCTTGCAGGAGGAAATACCGTTATTGGCGTAGAAGGAAAAGTCAAGTACATCGAAGTCAACTTGGGAGGAATCAAGCAAGTCTGCCAATTATACGTTTGTAAGTATTTCATGCTTTTCACGCTTAACGGCTTCAATGAATCAGCTATTCAAAATACTGTATGAGTGTGCGGGTCGTCATTTGTGATGCGAAAGTCGCTTTCAGTGAGTCATCTAATTATAATGCCAAAAATGCAGGTCCATCAGCATGTTGGTCTGCGCTGCTTCAATCTGGCATAGTTTCTTTCAAGACGAGATGTGCTTTCAAAATATATTTGAAATGATATTTTGGATATTTCGCTATAAATGCTGCAGTAGTTATGTTACATGCTGTATATTCGTTTCTCTTTATCACAGTACATCATGATTCACTTCAGAAACTTATTCAACTTATCTCTGATGGGAATCAGCACGAAGAAGCTGCTTTATGCATTCAATAATACTGTATAAACTTGAAAGTAAAAGAAGCCACCGAAATTCTGTAAGAATAATTCGACCCTCAACTTCTTCAAGTCCTCTTGAATCAATCATTGAAGTGTTCATCATCCATCTTAAGCGCCCCGTGTCCATCAGTCACGGAAATGCAAAAAATTAGAATATAATTACTTTCCATAAGAATTCCGTCACTTTGTATACGGTACTTTCGAAGCCATTATGATAATTGTTAAGCGATATATACTATAGTATACTCAATGGTGCGCATAGATAAATCCTTGCCATTTTTTTTATTGCACAGAGAAATCCTTTCAACTGCTTTTGTTTTACTCGAGTCAACTATTTTTTACTGTCCATTCACAATAATGTTCTTATCACAATTTACTACACGATTAATTATTTACGAAGTTTTTCGCGAATTTCTTCATGAAATAAAGCATCTGATCTTAATTGTAAGTTCATCAGGGGTTAACTTCCTTAAAAGATGTTCTCTAAAGAGCGATTTTTTGGTCCCATATATGTAGACGTTTCCTGAATTTCGTTGTGGAGTCCACCTGTACGAAATTAAACACTGACCGTTGCGTCAGCAAAAATTCTCAAGATATAACTGAATATGAAGTGCTTACTGTATAGTATACGTATTACGAAGTACATAATTGCAAATAAATAAAAAATACACGAGAGGAGCCACTTTGCATCAGCGAAAATACATGGATTTTTTCAATGGGTGTCACGTGTACTGGGTAATTTGAATCGTAATTTCCCACGCGGTCAAACATAAGAAATTCCTGAGATTCAGCCAAAAGCAGCAATTGATGACTGAGCATTTATTGCATTTCTCTTGCATCATTTCAGTGAGAGACAGTCCAATAGATGTGCAACTCGGCATGGATTTCCTGAAGAAAGCGCAGATTTACATGAGCTTCCCAGAGAGCTGCATTCACATCGGAGGACCCAACGGACCAAAAGTGACCCTTCTTGGTTCCAAAGAAATTCTTCAGATTACTAAAACTAATTCCAAGTTTGGCTCTTCTAATTTCTGACACGAGGCTCACATAAAAAGTTCCAAGAGAGCTCCAATAATGTCCAGCTCTTTCTTGAAAAGATAACTCGCGATTGTGGAAAATCTGCGGCATTATTCTTGCTATGTTGTTGGTTAAAATAAAATTACTGTGATGTCCTTACATAACTCTGGCGAATTTAAAAAAATAGTGCATGAACACAATGTTCACCGTTGTCAGATCCATATAGCTATTGTTGTCGACTTTTTCATATATGTTTATGAGAGCATATGCTGATTTAAGAGAAGAAACTGTGTCTAGAGAAATGAAGTACCTGTCGCAAACAGAGGTGCTCTGATCTGAAATATCTGACAGAAATATATCATGATCTTGTGCCAGTTTTTTCTATCAGTTCGCCGATACCACAGAACGACATATGCTTTACAATTTTCAATTTCATGAGCATAATTACGTGTTCGAAATAATCTTGACCCCTTACCATCTTTTTCATCAGGTCCGGACGCTAAATTTCAAGGAGAAATCAACAGAGGGAAAACACATCGAATTCGAATTGGGAATGGAATGAGATTCGCAACCTCGGCGGATAACTAAGATATCATCTCTAAGAACTTCGAACGTACTTCGAAAATTATGAATATTAGATTTTGGGAAGTAATAACACTGATGCTGTGATCTGAGCAAATGCAAATGGATTGAATCATTCCCGGCGGGGATATTTTATCGAAGCTAGTACGTACAAAGGTTGGATAATCTCCGCGTGGAGTGAAAACCAGACATGCAAGTCCTTCTTTTCTGAAGGTTCGACAATTTTTTTTAGATTCTCGAATTTTAAAGAATAATATTGTAAATCGGTTCAAAAAATGAGAAATAACCGTCCAAGAGGTGTCGGCCTTTTTTCCGAGACCACACAAGACAGAAATAGGGAGAGAAATGAATTTTAGAAATTCTGCTCCAATTTCCGGAAAATTTTCACAATTTCTAAACCTGTACAGCTCCCTTCTTTCGACCCTCGGATGAATACGAGTTGAGAGAAACAGATTATAAACCGACACGACAATTTTCAAGCCTCCAGAAGGGTAGGAAATAAAGGTGTACACTCCCCGATCTTCCTGGAATGAAATACGATGAACGCATCAATAGCACATAAAAACCTATTACGTTTCCTACTTCACTTTGGTTCAACAAGAAATGCCGGTATAAAAGAAACTTGAAAATTCTTTCCGAACCAAGAGCACAAATTTATTGAACTACAACCCAATCAACAGCACTGATATCACTGGACAATACCCAACTCGAGTCCTTGTCCTTCGCAGTGTTCCTCGGCCTTTTAAGCAAAAAATCTCCGCAAATTCATGGGCGAACCTTTCGCAAAATCTTTCTTAAAAATTGCACGTTTTGAACAGGATAAGAGGAACGCAATTGGCAGTTGGAAGCTCTCAATATCTTGACAAATCATCAAATCAAAACAACGCAACTCTCGTGACGTACACTTTCAGAATTCCCACCCGGCAAAGCTAGCTTGAAATCATGATTTTAAAAAATCCCAAGGTTGAATGCTCGAATTTTGACCAGCGCTGAATTGAAGTAGAACCAACAGATTCACGGCGCTTCCTGAACAAAAGAATTTGGCTGGAAATTTCAAATTTCAACCCGCCTTGTACAGAAGATCTGACTTTCTTTCTCCTTTGAAAATGCTGAACCAAAATGGTTGATCACTGTTTCTTTACAAATGACACACCTCTGCCCGATCGATTCCATGCTTTGTCCGCTGAAACTCAACAAAACGTGGTTATCTCCCGAAGTCACGTCAACAAATGTCTTCAGGACTTCAGCTGACTCATTGCCACGGCACTTTGAATTTAAAGTCCGACGTGAGAAACAGCGACGTGACGGCGAAGACCAAAAAGACAATGCCTCCGATTATGGTAACTGCGAAAAAATAAGACAGGAGTTCACGAATATGCTGAAATAAAGATTATCTGGGTTGATGCGAAGTCATTTTTCCTCGGATATACATATAACGTACAATCGAATACCTAAAAATTTCATCAAGAGATGCATAGAATTCGTTAGACACAGCGTTTAAACTATAAGAGGTAATATACGTACTGTATATAACTGTCAAAAAGTCGAAGTGTATTACCCGGTTAAAAAAGTACTGTACAGTGCTGTTACTGCTGTATCACAGATAATGAATCAGCAGAATAAATTAAAATGATTCAAGTATCCATAAATTAATTTAAGAGGAAAAAAAGGGGGTGGAATCAAAATTATACTGACAGTCTCGTTTCCTTTCAACGAATCTGAATGCGGACACAGACGATCATCCATCACATTCAAAGGTTGAACAAGCCTAGATTACTAGGAATTACACCGGAAACGTCTTCCAAAACATTGCATTGAAATGCATCGTCATGGATCGCGTGCCAACCACGAATATTATGGTAAAGAATATAATTGCTTCCAAGTAAAAAGCTCCAAAACTTCAATTTTTGGAATGGCGCCGCTTCGGTCCGGAATCGACGACTTCACCATACATATTAGCAAAAAAATCCTTCAGAAATTGTCAATTATGCATTACCTCGAGTTCAAAAATTCAAGCCTAAAAAAAAGTTCATGGAGGAGAAATTTGCAGCAGCGAGACATTCTTATAGATTTCCGTCTATAGGAGTCGTCGTGACATTATCCTTTCGTAGAGCTTGGGGCATTGCGTATACTCACTCGTTTTGACGGAAATTCTCTGAGCTAACAAACGACCTCCGATAACAGCAACTCCAGTGCACAGAAAATGCCCGAGCGTTCCACCCACGACGACTCCCCAAATATTCTGGAGTAAATAAAAATTATAGAGAAGAATGTTTGATCCCAAAAAAATAAAAACAACGCACATTCGTGACTGCAAGTACAATTGTAGAAATTTGAGATCGATCTCCCCATTCTGCAAGAAGAGTCATCGTGAAAGCCTGGAGGAATATTTTGAAAAACGTCCTCCAAATGGGCGATGATCTACGCTTTGAGGGAGTCCAGGGACGAGTAAATCCATTCTGATCCTTTTCGGGAGACTGAATCTGTTGAAATATCATAATGTTTAGAGGCATGGACATCGCAGCAAATCTCCAACGCAATTTTTCTTTGACTTCCCACAGATAAGAAAGAGCTTGAATGGTTGATTAAAGTCATGTAACTCTTATGTCAGATATGTCAGGGAGATATAGAGCATCTGGGAGCACACAAAAAAATATCTAAGCGCAGTACCTGTATCGCATCTGTCCCGTTTGAAAACAGCTTTTTTAAATCTGGGGAATAACATTCAACCAGAATTACTTCTTCATCCTCGGGGAATCCCTTAATTAATACAAAGCACCTTCGACTTTGAAATTCAATACTTCCGTCCATCTTCAAGAACCCCCTTCACAATTAAATACCTGGAGTATATCAACATGAAAGTGAAAAATATCAATACTGTCTCGATTATGAGCAATTGAATGAAATCAGGAACTCAAGTCTCGCAGGGAAAATCACACGCTCAGCAGATGACATGAACGACTATGGTATACTCGAACCAACACACTGTAGTAAAGAAAACATGGCGCGTCTTTCAAATAATATGGGCTGGTAGTTGAAACTCACAAGAGGTTTTGTTTCTTCCTCTCGTTTCTCCAAATCGTTCTGCACTTCCTCCAACTCCTCTTGTCCTTCATCAGGCGACATCTTATATCCATCATAGAGCATTTTCAACCCGAACAGCAAAAACAATCCCGCCGATATGTATTGAGTGTATACCCTAGGGATCACATTTACGGCATACCCGAGGGCCGCTATAAGAATGAAATACCGAAAATTGCGATCATATTCGATCATACTATAGCTATAAACGTTTTCACCTGAAAGCGCAGTCATAAGAAACAACGCAGAGAGGGCCCCAAGGAAAACAGTGGTTCTAGCATGCCTCATCGCCATAATCGCTGCGATGAAGAAGGTCTTGTCTCCGATTTCCGACACAAGAACAATGCTCAACGATGATACCAAGCCTTTGAAAAACCCTTGTATCGTGTTGACATTCTCGGTGGAATTCGTCGCATTCGCCCAATCCTGAATCAACACGGGTCAAGCGGATGAACGAGAGGCGCCAGAAGGAAAATAACTATTATTTTATAGAACTCACAGGAAACGGGGTAGTGATAGTGGGGAAATCGGTCATTCCAGTTTGCGTGGTCACCGCTTCAAAGCCGGGTAACGTTTGAAGCGATACTGATGACAATGCAATGAATAGGTCGGTCGGCGTATTCTGCATAGTTGACATGGGAGTTTGCGCAGGAATATACGGCACGCACAAAATGAGAAAAACCGATAACACCAAAAGTCGATACATCGCGATCCTTCTGCACACGTAAATCTATAAGATGAAGGACGGACATCGTCACAAGGAGGTTCGTATAATTCTTCACATAATATGTCACAAAAATTATCGACAGGATTGGCAAGAGGAGCACAAATATCGGCCAAGACTTTTTTTTTAACAAGAGGGCATTTTACCACGAACTGCAGCACCATCACGAAGCACCTATACTCACCAAATAAACTGATAAAAACGAACGCACCGGTTCTGCGGGAGAAGAAAATGCGCAGTAGATTTTCGCAAACACTGGTACTGTACTTTCACAGCTGGAAAAGTAAGAGATTGTTCAGCTAGGGCATGCGAAGGATAGGTCTTGTTCCGAATACCACCGGCGCCGTGATACACGAAGTCTGCTATGGTACGTGACACACACACGCCAGTAAGAACACATCCGGAGCTTCAAGATCTATAGGTGGCAATGACATCACAGACAGCCTCCCAAGGATAAACAAGATAAAGTTATCTGGATGGCTTCACAGCTCGCACTCACATAGTCGCGACGAACTGCTGCAACGATCGATAACTTTGAAAGCGGGTCCGACCGGGTAGCAAGTATTGATGCGTATACTACCACAAAAAGCTTCAGGTATCACGCAAAGAAACTGCGATCATTCCGAAGTCTAACCTTACGTCCATGTCAAGTGAGGAGTACTTATGATATGCATACACTACAGTATTCTAATTTACTAGTTCGTCCAAGCAGGTCGATCGATAGGACATCCGCTCACGTGAACGTGCGCTGTCCCCGCGAGCTCCAAGACCGGCAGTATGAATTGTAAAAAAAAAAAAACACAAATGCCACTGCTCAGCAACAATTTTCAGCCCCAGTCTCCCCACGGGACTGAACCGGGATGCGGCATTCGAAATCGATAGTGCGGTATATCGTATACCAGCAATATAGCTGTAGCTGTACTGCAATGTACATTAACCTGGGATTATACTGTACAATAATTTTGGGATGTTCACATTTTGCACCTATTTAACCGGATTTTGCATTCAAAACAGTCAAATATTCGAATGATTGCCAGCAGTGGGACTGGGACACGAGAAGAAAGCTCAGGCGTAAATGAAAAGCCAGTTCCTTGCATATATCCATGAACTTACGATGATATGAGAATATTACTGTATGGGATGTACCTGTACTATGAACGGAATTCCGAATTGAAAACGATGGTGGTCTAATATTGTACAGTATAAATTTGAACCTGGGCTTTACTGAAGAAAAACCCAATTTAGTTTTATAGTCGCTTTGAATAGTTTGGCTTTGAAATGTTCTCTCATATGCATCATCGGTCACGACTCACGGGTTATACATCCGTATATGCATATATGATGCTGGATACAGCTACACTACATTATACTGCAGTAATAATGATGATTGATTTTTTGAAGATGTCAAAGTATGAACTTTACTAGAGAGTAGAAATGCAATTTAAAGTGTGATAATTCAAAGACTAAGGATATTGCTGGATTTGCTGCCTGCTGGAATAAGCTGAATACGACCTTGGAAAATCTACAGAAATTTGCAAGATATGTTATTTTCTTCATCTATTACCTTTACGTTCCCCTCTTTTATAGTTTCGAATATATATACCTTGGATCGAATTTGAATTTTTCTGAAAACCCAGAACACTTCGTAGTGTTTGGAATTCATCGAAGTTTATACTATGCTGTATGACCATAAATTCGAAATCTGAAGCAATTTATTTTTGGAAAATTCACAAATTTAGCAATTGTCCAAGTCGAATACTTGACTCAAAAAATAAATATCTAGCTTTCCAGCTTTTCTACACAATGTACAGGGTGGACCAAAAAAGTGAACCAATTTTTGAATTAAGAAATCGTTGTTAAAAATTACGTTACAACAATGAAACAACACAAAATAAAAGCTTACAGTATTCAATTCTCTTTCAAATGGTTTTTTATAGTCCCAAGTGTCATCAAATGGACACAAAAACCATTTAAAAAACCTTTAAAAAATGTTGTCAGATGACTCTTTTTTTTTAGTTTTTAATTTGAATGGTTTTTGTGGCCATTTGATAACGCTTAGGACTAAAGCAAAAACCATTTGAAAGAGAATTGAATAAGCTTTTTCTTGGCGTTTTTCATTGCTGTAGCTTAAATTTTAGCAAAGATTTCCTAATTTAAAAATTGGTTCACCTTTCTTTGGCCTACCCTGTATAATTTTTCAGACAATCAATACAGTTCAAACTATTTCATTTCTTTCACGTGGAAAATTTTCCGAGAGCAACTCCTTTTACTTTGGCAATGGTACCAAATAATTTTAAAGCAGGTGGTGTGTATATAAAAGAATCAAAATTTGTTGGTTCAAACTTTCATTTCAAAACGTTTATTTTTCTTTGTTTTGCTTTCAGAGATAATTCTTGGAAAATCCGTTCAAAATATACTGAACCATTTAGAACGGCTTCATTTCACTCGAACCAGATCCCAGCTCAACCAATAACAGATAATAAATTCTGAAGTTACAGCTGTACAGTACATTTTTAAACTCGAGTACAGCAATGCGCCCTCAAGTAAAAGGTGCGCACGCAAAAATTTCAACCTAAACTCTGGTTAAAAACGTATTCCCATGTAAGACACTCGTACACCTCAATACTATAGAGACTGAAAGTCGAAATATTTGAAAAATAAAATGCTACAACACCTAAATTTTATTGTACTGTAGTCAAAATTCAATGCTTATACAGTCAACCCCTGTCTAACGGACTTGATTCATGCAAGGGACGAGTCTGTTAGACGAAAAGTCCTTTACATGAATTCAATTACTGTACTTGAAAATTGAAAGTTTCAATTTTCAACACTACATTTAAACCAAAAGAAGTCTGTTTTGTGGATTTTGTCTGTTGGGCAGGAGGAAAAACTGCTTGCAGAGCTGGTCTGTTCAGCAAAAATCCCTTACACGGGAGGTCTGTTAGGCGGGGGGCCACTGTATTTTCTCCATTTCAATTTTTTAGTTGTCCGTGGAAATTGGTTAAAAATTGCCCATTGAAATCAAGTGTGAGGTGCACATAAAATAAATTTTACATTTTTTCAAGTGTTATATATACCCAGCAACGACGCACATAATCTTTTTTCGCCTTAATTTCGGAAAAAATGTGCGCTTGGTACTTGAATAAATGCCGCACCGTTATATGTACAGTGATCGATACGACCCATAAATACATTAACCATCTCATATCAAGAAAGAAACATGGAAAGTCACTATTCAGCGCTGTACTCATCATATATTTTCTTTCCAGAAATTACTTTCATCAGCTTTTCTCCTGAGGTTCTTCGTCAAAATTCAACTGCACGTCGCATCTACTGAAAATTCCTGCTCCCCTGTCCTACATGTACACGATTTCCGGAAACCGACTTCTGAAAGCAACACCATGACGACTGTGGAACACAATTACGTTGAACACCTGAAGACTGTTGGCTCGTGGTTGTTGGGACTCAGCGTTTCCCTCATGTCAATCCGCTCGACTTCCGACTGTGATGCCATTTCCGAGGCAACATCCTGCAGTGACGCACATTCGGAAATCAAGAAAGACTAATACGGTGTGCAGGGAAATTATTTTACAGGAAGAGGTGTGACTTACCATCATGCGCAGAATTTTTTTTTTTTCGATTTATTTGACCAATATGATGGATTGATGCTTATTATGGGGACGTGCTGTTTTTACGTATTCAGGGACAATAAGTATTTTGTCACTCATTTTTAGATTCCGAAGTCACTTTCGAGTGTGAATGGGAATTTCAATCCATCTTGACGTTTCGTTCTATATAATGATTAATGAGAACTGAAGACAGCGAATTTGCTTCACATAATTACCCAGCAGCAGTCATTTAAAATAAAAATGTTTATTTTGGTCTTTTTTGATAACATATATTTTGGATCAAGCGCACCCATCTATGGTAGTAATTTTAAAATGACTTGATGGTCGAGAAATATTCGAAAAATGTGAGGTAAATTTTTTCCGCTGTACATCTTTTTTGGCCAATTGAAAATTGTGTATGAAGGCGTAATATTTTCTTCATTGAGTTGCATTTCAACTTTCAAGTCTTGGGGATAAACTGCAATTTTTGGTTCAATTCTCTTTAATAAAATTTAAACAAAAGCTACCTCACGGTACGGCGTATAAAGTTATAAACACTTACAGCATTTTAAAATAAAAACCATGTTCACCGCTTTTCCAATGTTGATGAAGTGATGGCATGATTAAATTATTGCTAAGACAATGTATGTTGCAAGCATTTATTTTCTGTATACAGTATCTTATTTAAGCGAAAATATATAAGCATTCCTCGAATACATGAGACCCTACATTTTCCACCTACGAAATTAAAATTCAACTATTATACTGTAATAGGTGAATATACCCCTAAGCACCCACTTTCCTTGTGTTCTCAATTTCCAGGAAACTAAAATTTCTGACTATATGTGAGAAAAAAAATGTCCGAAAATCTTTCTTCTTATCCTTCAGTCAATGAGTCGTGCATCTTATTGAAGCGCTAAAAGCTGACCATTTTTTTGATTACTGTATTTTGAATTTTAATTTAGAAGAAAACGGAAGAAAAGAAGTGCTCGATCATTTTATGGGCCACTTGCTGGAAGATTTCCTAATAATGGGGATGGATATTACAGAAATTTTCAAATGTAAGCACCGCCTTCTAGTTTTTTCTTCTAAAATTCTAAAAAAAAATCGTGCATTCATTCGCGTAAATACGATACATATATTGTCGCTATATATATATATATATAGCTTTGATGATAATTCTAGGTATTTTTCTTGATTGACACAGCGGTCGAGAAAATTGGGTCTTCGAAGAGAAACATGTCGGGGTCAGTTTTCCGCAGCGAGCCAATGTGCTTATGTGAGCTACTTCTCGAAGTAGATGCCGCTTATTTTTGCGTCGCTGAACTGGGTGAGCTTGGACTGGTGCAGTTCCAAGACGTTAGTTCAAACCCTTTCAAAAATTCCCCAAGTCCTTTAAAAAACACCATTCAGACCTCGTTATATATATTTTTTCAATGAAACAGTTGAACAAGGATGTGAACGCCTTTAGTCGTCGTTATGCCCAAGAGGTCGCCAAGTGCGATCAATTGGAGCAGAAGCTGAATGAACTGGAATCTAAGGTCAGAGCTGAGGGCATTCGTATCCCACGAACTGGCCCTCAGGCACCCGCTGCTCCTGCTCCACAAGAACTGGACGCCATGGTGGTGAGATGATCTTATTAAAATCATTAAAATTCATGATTTGCATATACAGGTATTTCTAAATCCAGAATAAGTTGACTCATGTCGTCAAAAGAATATCCGCGAGCAGATGAAGAGAAAAAAATTAAAACTCGATTATTGTTTTTCTTTATATTACCAGGAAATTAATCACGGCGTGAGAGTTTTTCCTCATAATGTGCACTGTAATGCGATAGAACAGTTCTATTGCATGCAGTATTATCATTATCTTCGTTAAAATTATTATAATGTACGGTATATTGCAGATTTCTTCAGATGCTGGTTCTAACAAAACATTTTAGAGATTTTAAGTGAGGTACGAATCTAATTTAGGTGAAACAGGTTTATGTTGCACGGAAACAGTGTCTCATCTTCAGAGCACCTTCTCCATAGTGTTCCAAAGTTTTATGACGATCATTGACCCAGTTTTCCTTCGGGAATATCTCGTCCTCGTTAGTGCTGCTGGTCATTTCTCGCAAGATAAATGAATGTTGACGGCAGTTATTTTTAATTATCTCAACAGGGGATTTTTGATCGACTGGCAGCGGAGCAAAAGACAGTGGAGAAAAACGCCGCCACGCTCAAAATTCAGTACATAGAGCTTCACGAGCTGCTCGACGTTCTAAGCGCCGCTGAAGTAATTCTGCCTTACGAAGAATGCGACGGGCGGGATTATCTCGTCGGACAAGGCTCGCTCTCGTGCGTCATCTGGGCATTATTTATCCAAACTAGTTCTCAGAGCTTAATTTTGATTTTTGCTGTTGTCGCTCGAGTGCCGAGAGAAAATCCGGCGTAACGAAGTATGAATTAACGCTGATTCAGCAGATACATAGGAAATGTGAATATGACGAAAGAAGAAACGTAAAAATGACTCTTTTGGCTACTTTTCTTTATGCGTTTGCAATGGTACAGGTCGTATACAACTTAGTTTTTAATTGAACAGTACAGTACTGTATGTAGATATTTTTGGTTTGTGGCCTTATAATTCTTCGGTTGTGCCGTTTATTGAATATATGGTTTCATCCGTTACGACCGTAGCCTGAATAAAAGACATAAATTGAGTGCCTGCAAAAATTATAACCGTGTTTGAACTTGTTTTCAAACTTAAATTCAAATCAATCGCAGCATAGTTTTAAAATTCTCGGCTTGTCTTCGCGCACATCATTGCTTCCATTATTTGCGGCTATTTTTAAAGCTGGAAATTTTAATTTTCAGCTCTGAAGACGTCCTTGATTTTTACTGATTTTCGGAATGATTTGGCCGCAAGAACATTACAGTATATGACAATTTTCGACAGGTTTCTCGCTGGGGTTTTACACACTGAGCGTTCAGCTGCTTTTGAACGCATGATTTGGAGAGTCTGTCGAGGCAAGGCGTTTGTGAAGACTCACAATATAAGCGCTGATTGTCCTGTCATGCCTTCCATCGAAGGGGTGAGTGCAAATGATGGGGGAAACTTGAGTGGACACCCCCTTTTTACTTTGGAAAATAAATCCGTTTCAAAATTTTCTTTCTAGATTTTTAAAATATTTTTTGCGTTGCATGAACGAAGTACAGTACCACGTCGTTTGTTCCACTTTCTTGGAAATTTTTGGCATATTCGATAGAATCCGCTTATGGGTGACAGGTTACCGTATATATCACCAGATCGAAGTTAAAAGACAAGGAAGAATAAAAAAAAGTGTTTCCTTCAAGACTGGGCTCAGAAGTATAGAAATATTGAATAAATATGCGATTGTGTCGATGAAGTTTCGGAAACATTCCTACTTGGGAATCTTTATATGCATTCCATCCTCAATAAAAAATTACTATACTGCAACCACATTCAAATTCAAAGTATTCTCTAAAGATATTTTAGTCGGAATGTGGGCTGAAAATCGGCTTGAATTCAGCTAATATTGACAATGTGAACACATAGGATTTGTGGCTGCGAGTTTTCTGCGAGTTTTGTTCTGAAATAAGGTTGCTGATAATCAAATGATACAAGTCTTGAATTAAATGAAGTAGAATAAATTTACGCTGTTTATTCCGATGATTGAAAGGAGCATTTTCTTGGAACATCGGATATATGGAAGTAACTTTTCGCAACATATTGAATTCCAAGGAGTTCATGGGGATGGTGTCTCGTCAAGAGGGCCAAAGGATTTTCGTAATGCGGGATTTCCATGAGCACAAAAGTTAACTTTATCGTAGGAGTAGGACTGAACTTTTGAAATTTGAAAGAGTTTCAAGAGGGCGAAAGTGGCAGAGCCGGATTTGGAAACTTTTATGTCAGCAAAGTTTTGTACCCTTCTGATGCTAAAGACTCGTCTGTCATACCATATGTGTATCCAAGTACATGTATGATAATAAATCCTAGATATGCGGAATTCGATGAATAATTAATCGAAATGTACATTTTCCCCCTCGAATCGTCATTCGAAACGCATTCCAAATTTTTCGTTCATCTCGTCGGAGTTCATCGAGCGATTTTATTCATGCCTTTAAAAAAAAAAATCCATGTAATGTATGTACATCATGAGGAGTTTATTCATGAATGGTCATTCGATGATGCATCATTTTGATGAAATTTCTGAAATGAGCTAAATATTTCAAGCGTGTCATCGCGAGGACTTGAGCTCGTTAATCGTCCCTTAATTCCGGCAACGAAACACCGAATAACATAAAAACCATTATGTACCTCACCAATTAAATTTTAGGTAGTCGACACGGATGAAGCTGACCGGAAAACAGTGTTCGTCGTCTACTTTTTTGGCGAACAGATGAAATTGAGAATTTTCTTTCAACGTCTTCCTAAAGCACGTTTTTAGATGGGTCAAGGCCTTCTGCGGGTTCTTGCCGTTTTCTGTGAAAGGCCGCAGTTTGTAGCTTAGGTCCTGGAACAGTGACATTTAGTTTTAGTAACTTTGCCTTTTAAAATTAAAACTTGATAATTTTTGTCGACGATTTGTTTTTGTTTTTTTGTCGCCGCAGGTAATTAGTCAAACTCATATTCATAGACAAGCGGTGCTCAAATCAGCAGCCAGAACCCTGCGTACCTGGAGATTGAAGGTGATGAAAACGAAAGCAATTTACCACGTTCTCAACGGGTTCAGGTCAAACGTGGCCAGCACGGCTTTGATTGCAGAATGCTGGGTTCCCAGGGACGACGTGAAGGTTGTGCAGGACGTCCTTAGGACCGGAATGGTCAGCTTCAGACCCGATTCCATTCATTGTTCTAATAATTGATATTTTTCTTGAAAAAAAAAAAGGTATGCGAAAGGGTTGACAAGGGGAAATAATTGCCGTCGTTATTTTTGGTCTGCAGGAGAAAAGCGGAAGCCGAGTTCCACCCATTTTGAACTGCATTTGCACCAACGAACCTCCTCCAACTTACTTCAAAGGCCATTGTATAACTGAAGCCTTTCAAGATATGATCGACTCATTTGGCACTGGATCCTACAGGGAACTCAATCCGAGTAAGAAGTATTTCTTAAATGATGGCGTTTACCTCCTCCAACTTACTTCAAAGGCCATTGTATAACTGAAGCCTTTCAAGATATGATCGACTCATTTGGCACTGGATCCTACAGGGAACTCAATCCGAGTAAGAAGTATTTCTTAAATGATGGCGTTGTTTTTTTAATTTTTCTTTTATTCTTGGGACATGCAGCTATAACCCAGCTAATTCCGCAAGCATTTTTTTCGGTTTCCCTAAATTTGAGTTGTGATTTTTGCAAAGCAAGCTAAAATTCAAAACACATTTGAGAGAATTGAAGGAATTTTCAGTTACCCATTTCACTCTCTTCCCATCCATTTATTACAAGTGAAGTGCAGTGTTGTTAACATTTTGTTAACATTATCGGTCAAATTTCCAATAAAATCGGTCATTTTTCAGTTTACTTACGGAAATACTTACATACCCGAGATAAAATTTGGGATGCACATCGATTTCCTACTTCAGATTGTTTTGTTTCTATTTTTAAATTGACGGTGGCAATGTGTCAACAAATTCTGAATAATTTTTCCGAATTTGACTGATAATTGTGCCTTTTCAACGATGCTTGTATAAGCACATGGCAAAAAAGTGCCTCTCATAAGAAAAAATAAAGAGGATTGAAACAAAAGTAAATACGGTCTTCAAAATAATATTCCTGTCGGATACAATTTCCTTCGTTGCTTATTGTTTGATTCAATGGGGCTTCGAGTATATTTTTGGATCGTATAAATACGACGATAAATATAATTTGCAATTAGCAGTGATTTTTAAAACTTAACTGGTTAATACGTACGAATTTTTTCCGTCTAGCCAAAGTTGAAGGTGCATCAGAAACATTTTAGTGGATTACAAGAATTGGAACTAATTTTAAAGAGAATTTCACATGCATCAAAATGTCCGCGCTTATTTTCGCCAGGTGATGAATTCAAACATTTTGTTGATTAAAAGTTTTTTTTCATGTTAAAAGGAGTGCAGAAGTACTGTAAAATAGGTACACCAGCGTCTTAAAAAATTAATATTGAACATTCAACTTGAAATAATATCTTCCAACGCACAATCGGGATTAAAATAACATTTCTAAGAAACGATGAAACGAATTAATGCGTCTTGGATTTTTTTCATAATATTCATCAAACTATTTCGTTAAATTTGAATATTTTAATCGCAATATACGTTAGCCAACATTTTAATATGAATTAAGAAATTTGATTGCTGTATTTGTGTTAACCACTAAATTATTTGATTCTAGTGCCTTTTTCTGTGGCGACGATTCCATTTCTGTTTCGACAGTACAAACCACTGCAGCCGGTACCAAATCAGAACGATCGCTAAAGAGAGATGAAGTAGATGCACCGCTTGTTCTTTCGCTCTGGATCTTTCAGACTGCTCCACTTCTTATAGAAACAAAGATGCTTCTCGTTCACGCTGCAAACTTTCTCCTGGAACTCGCAGATGTGGCATTTTGCCTTCGTCGGAAGGTTCGTTTTGTTCTTCATGGCAGTGTTTTCCATTTTCACTGGGCTCATTTACAACGACGTTTTCTCAAAGTCGATGAACATTTTTGGTTCGCGATGGTCAACGAAACTTCTCAGGTGTTTATCTTTCCAGGGTTTTGTTGTTGTTGTCGTCCTGGCTTTTGTTCACTGATTTTTAATTTTATGCAATTTTGAAGGTTGAGAGAAATCAGCGGAAATCTCAAGATGCAATTGGACCCTTCGATGACCTTTCAAGATAGTCCTTTAGGAAAGCCGTGACTAGGTCAAACCGTTTACAGCCCCTTGTCCCAACGAATGAACTTAAGGAAGTTTTACTTCTACAGATAATATAAACCTAAGAAAGTATACGACGAACCTCAAAACGACTTCGACTGCAACTGCATGTGAGGAGGATTACGATCAATTTATTGCATTTTCCAGCTTTTAAAAAAATTTTCTCAGAGCTACAATAAGGTAAACGCACTAATCGGCTGCTCTGAAAAGTCAGGCGCAGGTTTTGCATGAATCTAAGCTAAATTTAAACTATTCTAGCTTTTAATCACTACTGAAAATTCAAACCTGACAGGATTAAGGCAAAAAGCTAAGTCACTTTAACAAAGAGAATCACGACGTCGCTGAAATTATTGAGAAAATTCCGGGAATTAGCTTTCGAGTTGTTAAACAGAATATGCTTTTAAAAAAATAAAAGAAAAGAAAACACAGTAAAGCAGATGATCATACGAATTTTTCAGGTTTTTCAAAAACTACATGGACATCTACTGCTCTGTGATTCCTCAGCTGTTCTTCCTGTGCTCTTTATTCGGATACCTCGTGTTCATGATCTTCAAGAAATGGACCGTTTATTCGAGTGAAAACTCGGCGTGTGCTCCTTCTATTCTGATGATGTTTATTGATATGGTGCTGATGAAGGACGGTTCCAGACAGGAGGACTGCGAGGAACCTTATTTGTTCACCGGACAGGTCAGTTGTTTGAGACACTACCGTATATATACATGCTGATGATGAACTGATTACATTGTAACAAAAACTATGTTTTTCCACAAAAATAATACCCTATAATGCAGTGTTTTTCAACTCGTGGTGTGCGGACCGGCACCGGTCTGCAGAAGTTGTTTGCCAATCCCTGGGAAAATAATTTATGGAAAGTAGCAATGAATTCTGTTATCTATATCTGAAATTTAGGAAAGACAATGACATTTGAAATTCTCTGAAGAAAAATGAAAGTTGGCGTTTTTCCCCGATAACACGTCATACACATTTTCAGCTGATGGTGAAATCAATTATTTTAATTTTTTGCATTCTGAGAAACCTTTCTTATTCGAGCGGACGTTTCTAATTTTTTGAAGATATTCCACACAAGCTGCTTCATTAATGGTTCTTAACTCAATTTTTGCAAAAAGCAGACAATTTTCAAGTATATACCTGGTTTTCAAACAAAACTTTTTTGAGTCTGCAAAATTTTCATGAAACTTCGCCAATTCAAAGAATTTATTTATTCATTTGGAAATGTTTTTTGGCATGTTGGTCTGCAGTCTCAAAAAGATTGGGTAACGCTACTCTAATCTACTCACCAACAAGGCTTGGAATATCACAGGTTTGATTTGATTAGCTATAATCAACTATGAATTAACGGAAACCAGCCCAAACTTGTACTGTATGCTTGCATAACACTCGAAGTGTGATGAGATTCAGGTGACACCTATGTTCCAGCAAAATAAGTAAGGAAAAGGAATAAGGGAATCCAGTTGAACTCATAATTTACGCTGAGTTGAAGACCGGTTTCTAATCCCAGTATAGGAAAGCATCTTTTGGTTGTATGGCATTTTTCTGTTGTGTATGGAGTCTGAATAATGAGGCGGATTAATTTGAAATACTCTCCACACTGATTTTTTCAAATTTGTTGAAAATACGGAAGTCCACTACTTTCAAACGATTGGGTTTTGCATGATAATATGGAAGGTTTCAAGCTAACTGAATTTTGCGGCTTTAGCAGCCAAGATTCCGGAGATATGGAAATAAGTAACTGTAGCCCTTTTCCAAAAAACCAATTCGGTACAGAGTTTTTAAAAATCGGTGAAATGGACCAACATCTGCAGTAATAATGAATCATATTTTATTTTTCACGTCAACAGCTGATGATGCAGCACTTTCTGCTATTCGTTGCACTTGCTTGCATCCCCTGGCTCTTATTCATGAAAGCTGTGCTAACATTGCCAAAGCAAGTCTGCAAAGAAGAATTGCTTGTAAGACTTTCCTTATTATCACATATTCCTGCCATGAGCACTCAAATTTTTGTTTCGAATCTTCGTCATGTCCTAGATCAAGGCACGAGATGATTACAAAAAGACGGACGTGGAGGCTCCAAAGGAAACTAAGGAGCAATTCGCTGACGACGACAGCATGGGTGTTAAGGTTCATGAGCCTGATTCGGATGCAGTTATTGAGAAATTCATTGAAGGGATGATACATGGGATTGAATTCGTGCTTGGAACAGTGTCCCATATTGCTAGCTACTTGAGGCTGTGGGCGCTTTCATTGGCTCATGCTCGTGAGTGTGTAATACAATGTGATAGTCGCGATGCGTTGAATTAAAACAGAAAATATATTTTACATAACTTCGAAATTATATGCCTTGTATCAATGCCCACTGCGATTGCGATTTCCTGCTTTTTTAAATATACCGTAAGAGTATAGCAAGAATACTTCATAGATGTAATGCAATACTGGTTGGAAAGCCAAACCTCTTCAAGCCAAACTCTCAGGGAGTCAAATATAAAATTTGCCCTAGAGAATTTTTGAGATAGGGATCGAAGTTCACTGAAGTATTGTGTAACATGTGTTTCCAAATGTTCTTTGATTGTAAGTACAGTAGTGCAGTTGCACTTGGTGAATTTGAACCTCCCAATGACGCATTTCTTGTTGTTGGCTGTATCTACTCATCAGGTACCAAATGCCATTGAATATGACATATACCTCCATTTTTTGGCATGAAATTTCCCCAGAAAATAATCCAGCGAAAGAAGCGTGCCCGAGTTTTTTACCTGGCTGAAAATTGATTTTTTTCAAATTAAAAAATATCCTGTAGATAAATATAAGAAGATACAGCATTTCAACTGATGAAATTGAGCCAAACATAATTCCCTGCCCATTATATGCTCGAATACCAAGTGAAGTAATCCCTCATGGCTCCCATCTTTAATTTCCCAATTTTCAGCCATGCCATAGAAAATACTGTTGCATGGTTAATTTTGATGTCTTTCAATTAATGTCTTTTCATCATGTACTGTACTAGTGTACTGTATTCACTCCATTACCACTTGCACCTTTTTTCTCAAAATTGTAAGGAAAAAAGAGGGTGAGTACTGTATAATGGCAGGAATGAATTTTTTTTAGAAGAATTTCAAAAGTGTAGGGGTGCATTATACTGGATTATAGTGTGAAATTTCGGACCAATTTTATCCAAAAAATATTTTCATGGAAAAAATTGAAAATTGGAAGAATTCAGGTTTGATTTATGTCAAATTTGGAGGATCTCATTTTTTAAATACTGTATTGCAGCTTTAGAGTCATTGGAAATAAGGTGCATGTCTTAACTTATTTAAAGTGTTTGGTACTTGAGTAAATATGGTTCATTATTTATGCATCTTGTGAGAAGTTTTTCTCGATTTATAGAAGGAAAAACAAGATTTATCATGCTCGCCGCTGAAGGGATATCTTATTATTTAAGCTGTTTTCTCAAAGCATAATTTTTCCCTGATGGTTGGACAGTGCCTCTTTTTTACTTCCCCAGATGCTATCACTTTTTCCTCACTCTCTCTCTCTCATTTACTAGAACTGTCGGAAGTGCTGTGGAAAATGGTGCTCTCAGTGGGAGTTAGGGCCAGTTTTAATAGCAACAACATGTTCTATTCGGGTGCTCTGGTGGCTGCGACATTTTTCCTGTGGGCCGTCTTCACCCTGGCACTGCTGGTTTGCATGGAAGGACTATCAGCGTATTTGCACACCCTGAGACTCCACTGGGTCGAGTTCATGAGCAAATTTTATGAAGGACAGGGCCATGCCTTCCTGCCGTTTTGCTTCAACGCCATGGCCAGACTCGCTGTTGACGGCTGATGCATGATGTGTCACGCGTTAAATGTACCTTTGATTTTTTTGCTGTTTTTTCTACTGACTGTTATGTTGAGAGAATTTTATTATTGTGTGCGTCTTTATTTTTTTGAACTTTGGGAGTAGGAGAAATGATTATACGTAGAATTGAAAGATAGGCGCAGTAGTCTGAAATGCGTTTTTTTTTTGTTGTTTGCAAAATTGTGTTTGTATCTGGGGTTTGATAGAAAATTTTCCCAGTAGTCAAACCTCCCTGAGTCCAATATCAAGGGACTGGCAAGCAAACTTGCATTTGGCAGGTTTTGAGTGAAGGAGGTTTTGAGTAAGGTAAATGAGGCAAGCATTTTTGTTGTGCAAAAGATAGAATTGTAGGAAATTGTAAATTGTGATATGCCAGGCCTTATACTGTATATTAATTTTTAAATTAGTTGAAAGGATGCTGAACTTGAAGGCTAGGGTACATTCATTTGCCCATTCAGTTCATAACCTAATTTCAAAACGCACGTATTTTTATTTCTATTCTTTTTCCTGTGTCAAGAAAATGATTGCCAGGAGACCCCAGAGTTCTATTTACAGAGGTTTGAGGAGAAATGCCTTTTAGTTAGAGAGGTTCTAATGCATTAATTTTTAAGAGAATGCAGTGAGGGACTCGAAAAAAAATTTGACTCATCGGTGGATAGTATTTGAGCTGACCTGTGGAAGGCAGCAGCCTCATTTCCATCCATAAGCCAGTCAGTTTTTTATGTGGGCCTGCATTTCATTTTTACCCAAGGTTATGATGCAACCCCTGCTAGGTGGGGAAGGGTGAAATAACATAAGGCCAGAGGAAAAAGTGAGCCTCATAGATTTATTTTTTCCATTTCTGAGTTTAATTGTTCTGCAAAAAATAAAGCCCAGGATTTTCTCCAAATTTGCCCTGCACACTATTTCAAGGTTTCATTTTTATTTAAGAAAAATTCATTCTTGAGTGCACCCAAAATTTGCAAAAAAAAGTCCAACTTTGCCACAGAAGGGTTAAGCAGGAGATTTGAGTTATTGAGGTTCACATGCTGTATCATCTGCAGGGACTCGCATCATTTCAATTAGAAAAAAGGAAACAAACGAAAAAAACCGAATGAATGAAGAGCATCGCATTCCTGTGTCTCCCTTGACAGCCGAGACGTTTTGTCACCTATACATTTCCTCTCCCCCCCCCTCCCCGTCCTGATGTGATCATGACACGGAATGAGTGAATCCTAGCCAAAAGTACACATGAGACGAGATGCTCTCCACCCGGGATTTTTCTCAGCCATGAGAGCCCCATTCCCGTCATCGTCATTGCTGGCGTCGATAGTGCGATACTGCTGCTCAACCATTCATCACACGGGCCCGCCGTTAATTCCGCCCGGCAACTGCTCGAATTCGCGGAAAACTGGCCAGCACCTGCAAGGGGGCACATGAACAAAACCTGGGCTCACATGATTAAATTAAAAAAAAATCAGATGAGATGAGAAGAACCTTTTGTGCCTGAGATTTCTAACCGAAAAATTTTTTTTTTTTTAAGCTGTGATCAATTGTTGGTCAGTTGACTTGTATCCCATTTATATTCGAGTGTACTACGGGCCTTCAAGTAAGACACCCACCTTGGATTTGTGGATACAATTCTGAAAAAAATCTCAACTTCGAATAAGTCACGCATCTGAGTTCTCAGTTACAAAAAATTCCATTTGAAAAACGGTGTGTTAAAATTCGAATTGAAGCCCATTGGAAAGTTCAATTCAATGGCGATTTTTTCTATGCAAATACTCACCCGATATCATTAAATTAGAGAGCTCTGAAAACCATTTTAGAAGTGTGGAGAAAAAGGGCCTATATTTGATTTTGAAAGGATGGAAATTCCACTAAAGACTTCTTTTTTTTGTGGGGTCTTTCGATCATCGTTGCCGTACCCTGCTCACCACGGACACCACGATTTTTGCATAGCCTCGTTGAATGCCGGTACCCCAAGGATGTAAAAGCAGTGGAGTTGGTTCAAGAAAATTGAGCCCCCCCAAAAAGGAGTAAGCTTACAAGAGAAGGAACACCAGGATGAGGCCGGCACGAGGAATGGACAGACGATGACCCAAGGAACACGGAAAGGAAAGGAAAACAGGGAAAAGAACCACGAAAGAACGAAAACTGGCTCTTCGCGTCAGCACACTCGATCATGCCAACGATTCCGCCGAATGGCAGTGGTCCAGCGGACGCGTGTTCGACACGATCGACGAAAGCAGCAGCACGCTTGACTATAAAAAATAAAAAAAAACCTCTCCCCACAAGAAGGATAGATAAAAATAAATTAACCTTCCCCTCCCCCCCCGAAAAAGGGAATAAAAATGAATGTTGAAAAGATAAAGAAGATCAACTTTTCCTAAAACAAGACGCATAAAAATTGTTTCACGCTCCGCCGCCGCGTCTCGTTAATCACACTTGCTGGTATAAATGGTGCTTGGGCTGAAGAGTGTGTATATATATGCTGTGTATATATAAATGCCCCCAAACGCACAGCATTATTCATCTTGCCGCGGAAACACGAGAAACGCGAAAAGATTTATCTCGGCTTTCGCACCGATATTCATCTCTCCTTTACAAATGAAGTTCCACCTTGACCGATCGGTCGAACATGAAAACAACTGGGATTTCATTGATAAGCTGCTGATGGGGAAGAGCTCTGAAGCAGGCGTCGACAGAAAATACTGTACAGTACGGTGAAATCCCAGAAAACTGCGTCTGCTATTTTTTTGTGTGTGAGTATTTTGCAGTACTGTGACCTCCTCTTCTAAGAAACAACTGCAGGTTTTTTATCGCTGGAGACGTCAATTTGTTTGTCAAAGTTGGGATATATTTTTTAAAATCTTTTGTCCATGAGCCCTGACATTTAGAAAATTTTGATTTTTGCACCAAGGCCTAAGTTGGGAAAAACTCCAATTTTTTTTTATAATCCTGAAGAAAAATTTGCTTAAAAAAAATTCCTCAGTGCTGGGTAGGTCTTTTCAGGAATTCCTTGCATAGGATTAGCATGAGAGATTTGGAAATGCAAAACGATTCCCCCTTTCCAGGTTTTTCCTGATGATGTAGGCCTTCCCAATGTGGGTGTATTTCAGTGACCTTTGGTCAAATTGAAATGCGCCATTTGGGCGCATTCAAATTCCCCATTTTGAAATAAAATTCAAATTTTAAACTACAAAGTTTTTCATGTAGCCAATTTTCAAGCGATGATTTTTATTCATGATGATTTGAAGTTTTATATAAAGGCTACTATGAGTAATCTAAAAAAAATTGAAATTAATTTTTAAAGTTTATGTCCAATCCTGAATTTTATGATCGATTGCTTGGATTAGTTGGATGAGTTGGATTAGTGAAATTTGATACAAAAAAACGCGCCTTCCCTTTACAAATCAAAGGTACCACGTGAAATCCTCATTTATTTTCAAAGGCCCAAGACAATTACTTTGCCATCAACTATTAAATGACACAAAATACTTCTCTTTTTCAAAAAATATAACACGTATACCAATTTAAAATTATATATTTTTGGACATGATCTGTATAGATTAAATCGCCAAAAAAATGTTTCTAGACGTGATTTGGACTTCTATACAGTACAGTACATTACGCTGGACAAAAATGTGATAGATTCTCAGTAAAATAGTATGTGGTGACTGAAGATTTTCCTGGCTTATTTCTGAAAAGAAGGGAACCTAATTTTTTTGCGGAGCACTTCAGACTCTAAAATTGAGAATAATTTTTAAGGATGACGGACGAATTTTAAACATACCAAGCGACGTATTCGCATGGAACTTATTTTTACAAATCAGACCAACATTTTGCGATGATTTACTTTTCAGAATGATCAAGTCACGTAGTATTCAGGATACTGTATTCAATCATGAGGCTGCACATAAACGATGATGAAGCTATACTTCAGGAAATATAAACTTGTCAAGTATAATGTAGTACTGTATCCTGGTGCTTTTCCAATATAATTCCAGTTTGAAATGCAGTACTGTACCTCAGAATATCTCTAGTAATAATGAAGAAAAACCAAGCAGGAAAACGGAATGGAGTAAAGAATATTCTATGCTATTTATTATTACCCATTCAAATACCGCTTTTAACAGGATGAATTCCTCGAAAATGCCTTTTTAAAAGCACTCTTCGCGGATGTCATTCCACGGAAGACACATCACCATCAGAGCCTCTTCTTCTCCCCCCCATGAACATCTCAATCTTCTTTCCATTCAGCAATAATTCCGTCCCTCGAACCCAATTGCCCCCCTGAGAGACTTGTTATATAGAGTGTGCAAAGGCCCCATCACTGCTGTACCTATGGACCCGCTCGGAACCCGCCATGAAAGAGATTGCGTTTTCCTTTGCCTCCTTTTGTCGTTGGGGTCCCACCAGTAGCACCCTTGACGAGGGCCGGGTTGCCGGCGGCGGCGAGAAGTTGAGACGAGAGCAGGGACCCAAGGGTGCGGGTTTGGCGAGGAGGACCAGCAGCAGTGGCACTGGTGCTGGGTACCGATGAAGACGGATGGTCCGTCCACTGGCCGATGTTGACACCGATGAGGCCGTTGGAAGGCGTTTCCATGCCTCGGATGTGGCTCATCCCCTCGCCCTGGGTGCCAGCCGAGTCGGAGCAGTCGCCACCCTGGTTCCACTGCCAGCTCCAGGCTCCCTGATGGTGATGGTTACCGCATGCAGCAGAGATGGATATGGATTGGAAATCAAATTTTAGGAAAGGAACAATTCCTTTTCAAATGCAGCACAGTGTAGTTGTGTTTACACATTTTTATGCCGCATTTTGTTCAATTTTGACATCCCCAACTTTTGAAATTTTTTAAAAGTTCTCTTACTAAATATTCATCTTATTTGCATGAGACTCAAGTATGAACAATGAACTCAAGTTATAAACTTTCAAGTGGGCTGTGATTGGCTATTTTACCCTGCGTAGTTGAAAAAGCTATGCTGGTAACTGAAAAATAAGGTGCACAGCTTAATGATGGCCTTTTTTCGAAAATTTGAGTTGAAAAACTGAGGTGCTTGTCTCACTTGAGGTCGCATAATCGTACTTGATTAAA